TTCACTCAACTTTCTATAAACTTGGCTACAGCCCGTCTGCTCAAGATACCCTAACATATGTTTGGTCAGTTTGCTGATTAGGGTGTAACTTGATGAGTTTCTAATCTTTACCTTTTTTCACAATATGCTAATTTTCTGAGAAGGAATTTTGGCTTTTCATTATCCGTAAGCCATAAACATAACAATTGTAAGAAATAAAGGCTTGGAGTATGTCAACTATATCTGTAATGAATGTGTGTAATAGGTAAAATATTGAACTTTTTTGTAATATTCTTATACTTTTAGCTTTAAATGTATATATTTTTAAAAAGTGAATATTTCAACCAGGGTATTAAGTGAATTGTGGTCCTCACTGAGCAGTGATTAAAGATCTGTGTAAGTGCATGGCCTATGGAATCCAATTACTGCTACTCTTCTGAAAGGAGGAACCATTACCTTGCTTGCTCTAAAAGACAAATAGTAAAAGCATGAAGAGGAGCCCTTCAGTACATCTAAATATAGCCGAAATTGTTTCTAGTGTGGAAGTAAAAAGATGAGAGAGGCGGTGTGTGTGTCAGAGACAAGACATAGAACAAAGACAGAGCAACACATTTTTGTTCATAAGAGTTTGTGGAAGGCGTGGACTAGACATTTATATGAAAATTCACTATTATTGGGTCGACCAAATGAATTCTCAGCTGCTACATTCCAGTTATATCTCAAGCACTCAGATGTGTGTAGTATTGCGAGGAAAACCAAGGAGAAAACACAAAGGGGGGGAAAAAAAGACGACACTCAAGATAATCTTCACTCTTACTTTAACACTCTGTAAACTCCCCAAAGAATAGGCTTACTGTGAGTCTTTTCAATTAGGCAGTCTGAGAGCATCATGGGTATTTACGCTCTACAGGGATGTGGACCATCCCCAGATATTCGATCCATGATTAAGCAAACAAGGAAATGGATAATCACAGGACACAAAGGGTGGTTAACCTAACACAGCTATCATAAACATCATAGTTGTGTCAGAATCTGACCTTTTTATTGATTGGCTAACAGGTTAATCTGCTGAAAGTCAACATGTGTGAGATAGACCAAACACGACAGGAAGTATTCTCCAGGGCGACAGACTAACTGCACCATCATTGCTATTTATCTGGAGAGATTTTCTCTTCTGTAAAACACCGAAACACCATCAATGTGTTTTGATCAGGAAATGCTGTTTACTTCCATAGAGATGCATCGATCGGAGCTTTGAAAACTAATATTTGATCTTTCAAATTCAGGCATGCTCCATCTCATTACAGGGAAAAGGTGGAAACCTCAAAGAAGATAAATTTGGGACAACTTTGATCTGATGTGTTCAGGTCTCTGGGCAGCTGCTGGCTGTACACATGGTCAGTAATAATACTCAGATAGGTTGTGAATTACACCACCTCCACCAGCCTGAAGTGTTGGCACAAGACAGGATGGATCCTCGCTGAAATTGAGACTCACTGGACCAGGCAACACCTTCCCTGTCTATTATTGTCCAATTTTAGTGATCCTGTGTGAATTGTAGCACATGCTCTGTTTTTACCAGACAGGAGTAGCACCTGATGTGTTTTTCTGCCTGAGGGAAGAAGGCCTTTTTGCCCACACAGCTGCTACACGAAGGATATTTTCTTTTTCAAATCATTCTCAGAGAAGAGGTTGTGGATGAAATTCCTGGCCAGACGTTTCTGAAACACCCAGACCAGCCCATCTGGCGCCAGCAAGCGTGTCACTTTTATTCCACATTTTAATGCTCAACGTCAGCTATTCACATCCATTTGCCTCAATGCGCTGATTTTGATGTTTTGATTGGCTGATTGACTGTGCTCAAAACCATCTGAACAGATGTACAGTGGACACCTGGTGTTAGTGGGCATTAGGGACCAGATCCTACTGCGAGATCCTCTATTTTAATAGCTCAAACACGGCATTTACTCTAATATGTATTAATGCACACAGTGGAAACAGTCTTAGCATCGTCTTTCTTATCTCTGGTTTTTCTTATCCATTGTCTTTCTTGGTGCCATTTGGGGGTTACAGCCAATTGGCACCAAGGGAAATAAAAGCAGCTAAATGATTGCTTTGAAAGCGCCATCCATAAACATGACAAGCAGCATTGTGCTAAGATATTTTAACTTCCCAAACTCCATTGTCTTTCAAATATCTTGGATATGCTCTATGAAAAAAAATCTGCTTTTAAAAATGTTTTTTTGTTTAGTGTTTTATGCCTTTTTTTCTTCCTCTGGTTTACTTTTAAATATCTCAGTGATGCTAAAAATAGTCTTCAGCCCTCAGTAAAAACTTCCCCACCAAAGTGTGTGATCAAAGAAAGATTCATAGTTTGAGTTTTGAATCGACTGCTCGCTGATAACTGTTTTACATGTTTTCTTTTGATCCGTGTTTCTGTGTATTTATTTTACGGTTTTCCTGTGTTCAGTTTCTGTCCTGAGTCTCTGTTGTTTCTGCATCTTCCCGGTTGATTGCTTCCCAGGTGTGTCTAGTTACCTGATTACCCCGTATGTATTTAAGTTCACCTGTTGTCTCTGTCTCTTGTTGGGTCCTCGTTTTTGTCAACGTTAGTCTGTCCATCATCACAGTAGAATCGGTTAAGTCCTGTGACGGCGTCAGCTCTCATTTTTCGGTCCTCTATCAGTTGCTACCGGTAATTAGCTGTGTGCTATTCTCTCTGCCGTGCCGCCTGCATTGGACTGTTTTGAGCTTCTTATTAAATCATCATCTTCATCATCATCTAGGCCTCGGTGTTCATCCTCACCACCACAACCATACAAATCATGACAAAATTTAAGAAAAAATATTTGTGTTTTTTTCCATTTATATGCTAACCGCACCCTCAACTTAATTTCAACCATAATAATTAAAGTGATTACATCAATCCAACTCTTGATGGTTTTAAATATTATTTAAAAACATATCTTTCCTCACTGGTTGTCAATACAGCATGAGACATGAAGTTGTAGGTGAGGGATTGTTGTTTATTTTGTCGTTTTGTACTTTGTTATTTCTGCATAGGACTTTGGTCAAAATTGTAGTTTTTAAATATGCCTTACAGATAAACTGGAATACTCAGACCTCAGAACCACTTTTGGGTGCATCTTTAGACTCAAATCCTTTCTATGTCATCTCTTTTACTGGGTTAACAGTGTTGTACACTGATGCAAGCAAGGTTTAAAACGGTTTGTCTGTTTGATCCACGTCATTTAAGGTGAACTTTTGAACATTGTGTTCTAGGCTGGAGAGGATCAAAAACATCCAGGATATTACAAAGAGCATAGTGCAGTATCCATGATGGCATAGGGGTGCAGAAGTGTCTTTGGCTTACATCACATACTCCTTTGTAAAATAGACCATGTGAAGCTGTACTATGAAAACATGTCTTACAGCCTACCGGGCAGATACATTGTTGCATAAAGCATTAGTGACCTGTGGTGCCCGCCAGTCGGTATACTCTTGTGAGATCCATTAGAAGACAGGCTGAGCCACAAAAACAGCAGAAAGTAGCACTAAACTGGAGATAACTGGACACATTAAGGGGGGAGTATAATATAAAATCAACTTTTTTGAGCTCTATTTCATCTTATAATGTTGTTACGTCGTCAAAAACATACATGGAGTGTTTTTTTATTCTTCTATACCTGTTTGAGAAATCCTTGAGTCTCCAGGGTACTTAACCACTTTCTCTCATAAAATACTGCCTATTTCCAAAAAGCTCCTCCTTGAAGCTGCAGATTCCGCCTCAGAGTTTTCCTGCCCCACATCCATTTCCACTCAGCTCCTCCAGACTAGTGGCAGCAGCAGTTAGCAAATGTCTGGAACTGCAAGTCTGGGCTCATCATAAAAACTACTTCTCAGTCCAACACTGCCAGGAATGATTGTAGGCAGCATAATGGAGATTGTTGTGATGATGTGCTGAAGGCGGAGCGTCAGAGAGCAGTAGCTTCTTAAAGAAACGGAACCCCAATTTCAGGGCATAAAACTCACATATCTTTTAAGTTATTTTTTATATACACAGCATTTTAATAAGTTACTTGATTGTGTTATAAAATGGCAATATGTGCCTTGAAAATACATAATACCTAACCCCTCCGTCCCTTTTCTAAAACTGCTTAAACTTTCTGTGAATTAGAACTTAAAATTTGCAGCTCATTAAAAAAACGGTTAGCGGAGATTCTTACCCTCCAGGATGAAGTAACTAAATTCTACAAAGATGAAGGTAGCTAACTTTGTACTGTAAGTGAAGCACGGCGAGCCGGAGCTGTAGATAAATCCCATGGATCCTCCATAGGTCTGTCTGACCTATTTTCATCCATTCCCACTATGTCTGAATAGATATACTCTCTAATGGCATGTACTGCCCTGCGCTTACTAAAAATAAATAAATAAATAAAAAAATCAACCCTAACACCTTATCTACAGTACACAGCAAGCACCCTGAATAATTCATGAGATGTCCAAGTTTTAAAAGTAGTCCTCCTTATTCTCACTTTCCATTCTTTTGCCAGAAACACCTACAGGCTGCAGAGGCAAAGCAACATTCCGTTTGATATTATTCTCAAAATATAACAAGCAAAAAACAAACAAAAAAAACAAGAAGCATGTCTACAAGAAGTTCTGGAGTGTTTGTATTAGGAATCCACCGACATGAATGTTTGGGCTGATATTTATATCTTATGTCAATGATGCTGTTATGGTCAACAACCAACTATAATTGATATACATTTTTCCTTTCAACACCAGAAAAGAAGACCATACAGCTGAAATTGCTTCTCTGCCTCTGCTGAACACCCAATCCTATACTGTATCATTATTACAGCCACATGCCCAAACAAGCACCACATGGCCTGTTTGGCTTGCTAAATTTGGAGCAGTTATACATGATCATAACCAGAATGTTAAAAAATGACTAAAACCAGCCAATACTGATGCTAATGTAGATGTATCTCCCTGCTGTTTATCTCAGCAACACTCACCTGTACTGAGCCTGAAAGTGTTCCTTGACAAAGCTGTGGCGACCCCGAGGCTGCTGTGTGCTGGGTAAACTGGAAGGATTCTCTGACGCACTGGTCGCCTGTAGGCAGAAAGGTAGGGAAGAGACACATTAAGGAAACAATCACTGTAGGAGGCAGTCAACCTTTCAAGACAATGCTGCTGAAAGCAAATGCACAAATACAGGCAAGGCAATGTCATTCTTTTGTGTCCACACGAGTCCAGAAGCTAGCATTCTGTCTATATTACCTTTGTTTTCTCACAATTAGAAAAAGGATAAACACCTCACTTCCAAATCTTCTCCTCTCACAAATTTAGCATGAAATAAATAAGTGAGGCAGATAATTGTAGATGAAAAGAGAAGCAGACTGTAGAACAGAATCTGTTGATTTTAAGATTGACCAGCCATGACCACTGACTGGTTGCTCAGAAAAATCTTCTTTTCCTCAAGCACAGAGTGCACCGTACCTACTAACAGGCCCAACAACGCTCTTCAGTGTGGAAGTCATTTCTATAGGAATAAGTCTCAAAGTTCCCAATTTTCCCCTGTTATCAACAAGGTTACAACTGCAGTCTGAAGAAGCAGTAGTTAGTTAAAAGTCACTTAAAAATATAATTATTTTGGGGGAATCACTTCTGCTCCTGGAGAGCTGCTCATTTTACTCACTTTGTACTTTTGCAGTTTTTATTAATTACTAGAGCTACACAATATCAGGAAAATATGTAAGTGTGATATTATTGTTCAGAATTGCAATTTCGGTCTTGCTGGTTATCATCCAACCCACATTTTTCAGATGTGTTTCCTTAGTTACCATGACATAATGTCCCCACCACACTTTCAGTTTTAGCAATAAAACCAAATCTGGTTTGGGGAGCAAGGGGCAGTTATAGTCCAGCCACCTGGCGAAATATGCAGAGTGTGAATGCACAACATTTGAGACATTTCCTCAAGGTAATCATGTCTAAACAGTCCTCTGTGACGACTGCAGTTCAATATAGTGAGCAGCTCTGTTTTAATGCCCATCATTTTTAGGTAGGAGCGATTTACCTGAAGTTGACTTCAGCAGATACCAGAACGGTTGAAAGGATTACAGAGTACTTGCTTATCTTTATCCTTTCAAACCTTCAGCCTGATTCTGTTATGCGACATTAAATTTGCAAAAGCTGGCGGCATTTAGGAAATTCCAGAGTTACGGTAAGGGTCTGCAATTTTTATTGAGTAAACACAGACAGATATTTACAGGTAGGACAACCATGCTGACATGGGGTTTTAAAAAAAATCTGTTCTTAACCATTAGCTGTAGAAGATGGTTTTAATACATAAAGTATTGTGCTAATGTCCACTGAAATAAAAAAAAATAGCTGCACTGGACTGAACAAGCAGGAGATACTTCAAACATATCAAGAAATAAAATAACAATGCAAATGCAAAAAAATGAAAACAGCAACAGACTGATACACTTATGTTATTTCACCAACGCTGTTCCAGTGTCAAGCCATGACTGCAAAGGCAAAGAACATAGCTTCTTCAAGGTATACCTAACTTCATTTTTAAAAAAGTCTCTGATACCTAAAATAGCTAAGTCTGAGTCATCTTCACTCCGTAATAACTTCCTCAAACTTCATCAAACAGTGTCGTCAGTGCAATCTGACAGCAATATCTGATCAATCATCTGGCCAATCTCCGATTAGCATCAGTCAAGAAGAAAATCGTCCAATTTCAGTCATCAGCCATTTTCTAGGTGCATTGACATCTTCATTATAAGATGTCAATGAAGATGACGTGATAACATAAGATTCAAATGAAGGGTATATAAAACATTCAGGTGTGATTTTTTTGGAGGTAGACTTTCACTACAGTTTCCACATGTGACCTTTGAAACTCATTATTCAGGCTGTTTTGTATCTGGGAAACTTGGGCAACAGACACTTAAGTGTCCAACCAAAACCTTCTGTGTGACTCAGCACAGACACACCAAGGTACCAAGAACTCGTCTCGCCCTCCCTCTCTGGGGAACTGAGACTTTCTCTATTCGTCTTGAACCGTGTCCACAGAAAAATGACAATCTAACTTTGACAAGGCTGTTCTTTTGTTTGGACAGAATCCAATCATCGCTGCATTAATTTTGAACAATAAGCTTCTTCTTTGCATCTGCATAAACTTCTCCAAGTATGACTAACTTAAATACGTACCAAGGTAAAAAGATCCAAGAAACACATCTGGCTGTTCCCAAGCTTCCCTTCAGTTTCAGATTTGACCTCATGTTCGTTTTGACATGTGGCTCAAAGTATTTTGACAGAAAAAATGTAAACATTTTCAAGGATTCATTTGCGGAATATTAAGCGCAACAAAAGAGGATTTTAAGAAAACACTTCAACACCAAATGTCTTATTCAGGTGAAGTACAACAGCCTCTGAACAAAATAAAATATAATTTTAACCTTTATTTATAAAACAATCAACTTCAACTAGCAACTGCACAGCCATTTCATCTGCTTTCCTCCATGTTTCCACAATGTTTTTACCAAACTTTTTGGTAAAAAAGTTTGGTAAAAAATTCTGTGTAATAATTCTGTGTAATAATTTCAATATTACACAGAATTTAAAAAGACCAATGCTTATATAAAAAAGTGACTTTTAAAATAAAAGGAAATGGGAAAAATCTTCATGTAAAAAAAATAGTTATTGGCACACCCACAAAGTCCTCGTAGAATCCGACTTCTGCAAACTGTCACCCATTGCATCAGGCAACAACCCAAACGTCAGCAGACATCTTCAAGGGGCCATATGATGTTAGGTAGGAAGGCTAACATGAACTCCTCAATGAGTTGAAATGATTTCTTATTCTCTAACTCTGAATTTTTCTTCCCCCATGAATCTGTGCTCTGATCGGTTTGAGGAGTAAAATATTTCTCCAGCCCAGCCAGGGGAAATGTTTTCTGCCCCAGATGCAGGCCTTTGTCTGTCTGCTGGTGGAGGCTCAGGTTCCCTCTGGATATCTGCACTCCAATTCCTACATGAAAACATATGCTGGTATCAAAGCCCTGCTGATTTCCCGAAGCACACACAGGCATGTGGACTGTTCCTGAGCAACTCCACAGAGCCTCTTCATCTCACAGGGTTGGTCTAAAAAAATCAGAAATCGATGCAACAGAGAAAAGGAAGAAGAATGTAGTTTGTGTAGCTGGGAAGAACATATAAGATGAGATCCTTCAGTTGGAGATAAAAAGCTTGATCTATAACTAATGGGGTGCAGATTTCAGTCAAAAAAATCAACTTTAAATGGATTCTTAGAAGATATCTATGTGCAAAGGGAAAACAAAAAAAGTGAACCGAATTAAAATTATGTGTCTGAGTTTGCTGAAATGAGTAAAATTATTCATTACTTAAACTTGTTATATCCAGACTTAGGTTAATCAACTTTGGATGTCACTAATGGAAATTACAGCCTATTAGCCATAAAGTGTAATAGCTTTCAAACCACAGAGGCAACCCTGTCATTGCTCTTAAGCCCTTAATGAGGACAAATTTGGAAAGTCTTCCTTATTAAACAAGAGAGAATAAGAGATAAAATAAACGGTGGCCAAACAAAAAGATACAGAATCTGTTATCATCCCAAACCACATTTCCAATCAACATGTTGGCTCAGAAGGCATCACACATTCACCTCTGCTGCCAGCCGCAGCTCTGAGTCATCCTTACACATTCAGAAAAACTGCTGCCCGCTCACTCACAAGCATCCGGGACCGAGTACTTAATAACTTGAATGCCAAAACACTTTTCACCTCATTTCCTCATATTACTCACTTTCTTTGCCACAAAGCAGAAGGAATGATGCTTATTGCTTTGGTTAAAAACAGGAAGACAGAAAAAGATCCAGATAAGAAGAGATACATTTGTGAAACTGATGTTCATTTTAATCCAACAAGGGCAAACCTGATAGCTAGGAGGCAAAATTCAACCCACCTACACTCTATCCATAAGAGTCTGAGAAGATTTGCCAATAATATAAAAAAAAAAAAAAAATAGGAAAACCATGGTGTGGGATACAGGCAGTCCCAGATAGCATTACACGACAACAATAAACCATGAAATGGACAAACCTGGCCAGGAGGCTGAGCGTGTCCAGCAATTATCCCTGCAGAAAACATGGCTGCCATTTACTATATTTTATGACATCTTGGCATGAAGGTATCGTACTAGAAAATTATAATTGGCAAATGAAAAGCACAACATCCACCAATCAAAGTATTGATGATGCTTGTTAACAATCCATGTCAGCATATCTGAAACGCAAAATTTTACTTTTTTGCACTTGAGTAATTCAGTAATTTCACTTATGAGTTTTGTTTTGAATTTTTCCTAATCCACCCAGGTTCATCTTTGTATACATTCCTAAATATACGCATTCTGAGGGTCCTCATTATATCAAAAACTCTACAAATAGCTGTTTGGAGGACAACATTAATTTGCTTATGTAGTCCCTGTGGCAGATTGATGACCTGTCCAGGGTGTATCCAGCGACCACTGCAGAAAGACCCACCAGAAAAACATACTTACTATGACAATAAGATAATCAGCTTATTGGATGGAGTCTCCAATACTGTTTTCACCTGGCACAAATGATTAAAACCAAAATGCTGAAGCTAATGAATGAGAAAACAGAGAAGGAAATTTTTTGATTTAAGGCAAATTGCTACTGCGTGATTTCGTAATATCAAGCAGTCTTAACATGGATATGCAAGTTTGTTTGTAAGGACTTAAGAACCAGGGTGATGTCCTTTATTTTCCTAGTTTTACTGTAAATGTGAGCAGCAATGGTTTGGATCAGTGATAGCTGTCTGACTTTTCAGGGAGACCTGTGAAGACACTATTGCAGTACCATAATCAATGCGACTAAAGATAAATGCAGGGATGTGTTTCTCAAGATTTTGTTGAGATATTTGTCTTTTTACCCAGGAAATGTTCTCCAGGTGGTAGAAGACTGACTTTGTAATCGTTTTTGTAAGTTTTAAAGGTTCAAATCTGAGTCCATTGCAATGCCAAGATTCTCTGGATTAAAATCCAAAGGTTTACAGAGAA